ATCATTAGTCATTAGGGAAATTCAAATTATGCAAATTATGCCTTATGCACAAGGACATGCCATTTTACACTCACTAGAATGGCTGCAATTAAAAATACTATCAAAATCAAATATTAGTGAGGACGTGGAGCTCTCACACACTCTTGTACAGAGTGAAAATACAAACACTGAACATACACTTTCCTCAGAGAAATGAAACCATTTGTCCACAAAAGGCCTTGAACCAGCCTGTTCATAGCAGCCTTATCTGTCGTACTCAAACCCCAGAAACAACCCAAATGTCTATCAAGGGTGAGTAAACAATTGTTACATTCATATAATCCAGTACTGTTCACGCAGTCACAGCGACGGATCACAAAGGCATCGGGCTGAGCACAGACGGCCGCACACAGAGAGCGCACACTGCTTAATCCCATTATATGAAGTTCTAGAACAGGGAGAGCTACTGACCGGGGGTACCAGGGAACGTTCAGGGGTGGGGGACATGCCGTCTGGCTTTGAGTGGTGTTTACACGGGGGCATACATTTGTCCAAAACCACTGAACTGAAGCCTTACAACCTGTGCAATTTATTGTCCCTTCATTATCCCACAGCGAAACGTACTTATGTGGATAGCTTCAAAGACCAAGGGAGAAATCCATTTTCTAGTCCACGCCCCAGACCTGCCCCCAATTCCCGCAAAATGCGGAGAGTGGATTCACGTGCTGGGCGGGGCTTGGTGGGAAATGGCTTTGGGTGTTTTCTGAAAAGCGATGAACACAGAGACCCCTTTGCAGAGACCCTCGGGGAGGTTCTCACGGAAGGATCTGCACTATGGCCGTCTCTGTTACAGCTCATCCCTGCCTTTCTCTCCTGCCGGGCAGCCCGGAGATGCTTGTTTTCATGCTTTCATTTTTAATTTTTTTATTTTTTTATTTGACCAACATTCTAGAGACAGCTGCTATGTGCCAGGCCCTGGCTAACACTTTCCATCAATTGATTAACTGGGCCCTACCCTGTGAGACCAGAACAATCTTCCTCCTCAAGGGGCCATCCATCCAGGGACCTCAGATAAGAAGGAGTTAATCAATTGATGGAAGGAGGGGGGGGGCACAGAGGGGGGAGCAACAAGGTCAGTGGGCCTTAAACTTTGCCGCACCCCAGAATCCCCAGGGTCCCTCTGAAAGTCCCCATGCAGACCAACCAACTCAGGGGCTCTGCAGTAGAATTTGGGCATCACGTATATTTCTCAAAACTCCCCAGCTGATTCCAAGTTTGAGAACCAGTGTTCTGGGTGGAGGGGACAGAGTCATTGAAAGCCTGCAAGTCACAGAAGGATGCCAGTGGGTTGGGGAACTGAGGACCAGAGAGGAAAGTGAAGTCAAGAAATGTTGCAGAGGAGGTGTCGTGGGTGAAGAGCCCCCACCCGGAACCTCAGAATGTGATCTCTTGTGAAGAGGGTCTTTGAAGATGTGAATAAGGTGAGGATGGGCATGAAGCCATCCGGATTAAGGTGCGCCCTACATCCCATGAGAGTGTCCTTGGGAGAGACAGAAAAGGACACTGAGAAGGCCCTGTGAACAGAGGTGATCACGTGATGCGGCTACCAGCCAAGCAGCACCAGCAGCTGCCGGCCACCTTCGGGAGCTGGGAGCGAGGCCTGGCGCAGACTCTCCCTCAGAGCCGCCAGGAGGAACCCACCTGCCCACACCTTGATTTTGGGCTTCCCGCCTCCAGGTCTGTGACAGAATAAATTTTTGTTGTTTTAAGCCTCCCAGGTGGTGGCAATTGGTCATGTGAGCCCCGGGACACTCAGACAAGAGGGAAGCAAGGGCTCAGCCCCCACAGGGAACTTGGAGCTGGAGCTGAGGACACTGAGGAGCCCAGTGCGAGGAGGAGGACGGGCCCAGGGCTGTGATCTGTGGGTGGCTTGTTGCTGGGGAAGATGAGGGTGTGCCCCTCTGACCTCTCCCATGTTCTTGGAACTGTGGGAGGCACGGCTATCTGCCTGGAGTGGGAACGGGGGAAGGCGGTGTCCGGAGCTTAGAAGACTGGAGCAGGTTCAAAATACTCTTCTGAGAACAAGGGAGGAACTAAAAGTGTCTCCTTGACAACACGGAAGATGTGGAAACAGAAGACTAGACAGATGAGGCGCCCGTCCGTGCAAAGGTGAGGCTTGACCCCTGACACGCTGGCCTGTAGGTACATCTAAGGACTTGGCACATCTGCAAAGGGGTCCACCTTCCAGGCAGTGGCCTCCAGTAGTTTGTTCAAGATTTTTTTCTACCAGAATCTGAGAATTTACCCTCGATCCCTCCGATGTTACATAAAAGGCACCTCCAAAGTAAATAACTTAGCCTCGCAAATAGGTCCCAGCCCACGGAGTGTTCTTCTTACCCACGCGCCCTCCCCAAGGGCTACACACAAAGTCAATCAGTCAATAAATACTTCTTGCACACACACTGTGCCAATACATGTGATGGACTAACTGTCAATAAATATTTATGGAATACCTCCTGAAGGTTCACACGGTAAGTCAATTAGTCCATAAGAATTTATAAAACTACCAGGGATTGGTCTAGGATTTTAGAACAAAGAAGGAAATAAAAATATCAAAAAATTCTGGGTGGTGAGAGGGATAGTGGCCAATTGGTCGCTCAACTTGGCGTTGCACGATACAGTGCTGCCATAGCAACCAAAAGAAGAAGGTATGTCACAGATGAGGAAGCGGGAGACTCTGGATTTGCTCCCTATGAATAAAAATGAGTGAATCACTTTACCAAGAAAGTCTGTTTCCTTATCTCTCAACGCAAGGTCGTCGAATCAGCCAAATGCTTTCTTAAAAGAAAAGAAAAACAACCGACATTCACGGTGCAAACGACCTCACCATGCCCGGAAGATCTCGCGGGAGGTGCTTGTGGTTGGGTGATGATCGGGAAAGTCTCAGATCAGCAGGAGATAAGTTGACTGGAGGGACCCTGTGTGTGGCCCTCCCCGAGGCGTCCTGTTTCCCACCTTGCTACTAACCACAGCCCCATCCAGGTCAGTGAGTCACTTGCCAGAAAGGGGAGTCCTTATCTTCTCAAAACCCCCCAGATCACAGAGGAAGAGCCTGAGTTTCCTTCCCAAAACATCTTCGGATGTTCAAAAGCGGGGCTGGGGGGGGGGGCGGGCAGCCACCAACCATGACTAGCACTAGAGGACAGGGGTTGGGGCTGCTGGGTAAGAAGGGGAATTCCAATGTTTCTGAGATATGTTTTTCAACACTTGTCTTCCCTTGTGGCCTCCTGTTGGGTCTCTCTTCTAGCATCAAAGCACAGACTCACCACCACATTCAGCCCATTCCTCATCTTGACCTCCCCAGGCTGGAAGAAATCGGAGGGCTCTTTCATCTCTTTCCAAAGGCCAACCAAGACCGAAGGCTGGCTTCTCTCTCGCAGAGGGCCCAGCCTCTCTCCTTGCTGGCTTCTCCTCCTAAGGGCTAGTCTTCCTCAGCCCTTTCTGCATAAAATATTCATGCTTGCCCTTTATTCATTAGTGTCTGATTAAGACTACCTATGATTAATCAAAGCCCTGTGCCACAGGTTTTATCTGATCCATAAAGTATTTTGAATTTGTTGCTGCTTTTTAAAAATCAGGAGACTTCGGTTTATCTTAAAAAGTCGGACGACGTGGCCACACTGCGTCACAGTCCCACATGGACATTCTGGCCGGAGTCGAGTGACAGCAGTCTATTTAGATGGGAAGCGTCATTCTGGTCCCTGGTCCCCACCCCTCCCGGTTGTTGCCCACCCAACACACTTGACTCATTTCCATCACTTCCCTGGCTTCTGTATAAAACCGATTTTTTGACCCCCAGATATGGTAAAATGCCCAAGAAAAAGTCCTGAAATGTAACTGAATGTAGAACATGATTACAACAACATAAAAAATATTCTTAGAAGAGGCTAAAAAAAAATAATATAAACGGCCTTTGTTTCTGAAAAAATGGTTACTTTGTTTGTTCTTTATGCTTTTAAAGATGATTTCTGAACTCTCAACAACTGAACAAACAATAAGCTTTGTCCCATCTAATTGCAAAACCAACAACAAAACTGGCAGGAAGTGCCTAAGAATGAGCTCAAAGTGGCCGCCTCTTTCAAAGCCTGGTAGAAACGAGCCAGGGTTCTGCCCGGAGCCCTTCCACGTGGCAGAGCTCGGCCGCGGCACACTGGACTCTGACCGCCTCCTGCCTCTTTGCTTGGGCATCTTTACAGCCACCGGAATGTCAGCTCGTTGAGGACAGAGAAAACCTCTTGCTCATTTGCAGGACGCCAGCACCACATGGGACATCAAGTGGATTCTCAGTAAACGCACAGGGATGGTCTGAGGGTGATGGGGCAGCATGGCTCCTGGGTGCCAAAGCTCCCGTTCAATCACCGCTCTGCCACTTCGGGGTTGTGTTGTCCTACCCCCATCTCTCCCCCTCCTCTTCTGTGAAATGTGCACGGTGACACCAGCCATCACCAAGGACGGCTGTCAGTATTCAACAAGCTCAACAGGCAAGAGCCACTGTCATATCATCGTTATTCTTATTGAAAGAAAAACAGAGAAGAAAAAGAGGACACGGTGTATGGTGAACTCACTCCAACGCCTTCTAACCGTTTTGAAAACCAGAACATTTATACATCTCCAATCTTCTAAACAAAGCTGTGGGCGACTCATTAGACGTATTATTTTTTAATTTCCTGTGAGGCCGCAAACCCTCCACAAGTAAATCGAAGCAGAGAGAAGCCCTTAAATGTGCTCTGGCTCCGGCCCCTTGGGTCATCTGGGGCCCACTCTTGATCCTTGATCGAAGCAGAGAGAAGCCCTTAAATGTGCTCTGGCTCTGCCCCTTGGGTCATCTGGGGCCCACTCTTGGGTCCTGTGACCTTTGCCGGGTACCTGGCCCAGGGTGCCTTGCGGTGGGGCAGGGGTGGGGGAGGGGGTGTCACATACAGTCCACTCCAAAAACCGACCCTGCCCAGAGCCCCACTTACAGCACTCGATGGGGTTCGACGCGGTCTGCAGGGACACGATCCTCCCACTGGCCTCGGGAATGTGCACCCGGAACACCAGCCTCACCCGCGTGTTCTTCCTGCCGATGTCCGTCTCGCCTTTGCGCAGCTCAATGTCAGCGTTCCTCAGCTTCAGGATGCCCGCACAGTCGATGCTGCCCGAGGACGAAAACCCCATTTACAGCCAGCCATCTTAGCGAGCAGGAAAGATCACCCACAAAGCCACCTTCGCCAGGTAAGCCCAATAATCCCACAGCCAGACACGGGAAGGAACTGCAACACACTGATAAATATTTCAGCCAGGGATTTATACCGAGAGGGGAGTAAAACACTTATAAAGCAATTAGAGAAACTCCCCGGGGGAAATGACTTCTCTAGTGAGATTTTTCATGCCAACTTTTCGACTCTCAAAAGCATCTGAAAAACTCAAACACGCCACTGGCGAAACTGCTTCTGGACGATCCAATAGAGAACAGCGGTGTATCAACGTGAACACCTTGAATTTGATAAATGCGCTGTGGCCACGGAAGAATGCATTCTTGTTCTAAGGACACGGATGCGGAAGTGTTTAAAAAGTCAAAAGGCATGATTTCTGTAACTAACTTCAGGAAAAAATGGAGAGTGATCAAGCAAATACGAAAACGGTTAAAAACTGGCAAATCTGAGTGAACAGTATGCTGGAGAGAGTTCTTTGTTTCTTGCAGTTTTCCTGTACGTTTGAGATTTATTTCTAATAAAAAGATTTTTCAACTCCAATACATGGGTGCAATGGTTCCCAAATTTTAGCCACACGCAAATGACCTGGTGAGTTTTGACCTATCATGACTTAATAATTTTCTTTAGATCAAATAGAATTTTTAATGTCAATGAATTTAGTCTCATCCCAACCAACATAACCCAAAGATGCCTAAGTAATACACATGAAAAATATCTAGGTAACGCACTTTTAAAACAGAAACTTTAAAACAGTCATCTCTCTGGGTCCATCACAGACTGGGAACCACCATCCCCGGCTGCTCCATCAACTCCAGGGAGTCCCCTCTCCCAAACCCCCTGCCACTCAGCCCCACCGCCCTCAGCCCCAGCCCTTACGTCGCCCTCATGTTGTTTTTTGGCTCCAGCGGGATCTCCAGGACTTTGGTGTTGCCGACGATCTTCTCGTAGCTGGTGGTGGTGACGGTTTTTCCCGTGATCCGGTGCACCTGGTAGAAGGCGTGGGGCTTAAGGATCCGCTCGTCGGCCGTCCCGATGAAGATCTGAAGCCCCAGCGGCTTGTTTTCCATGTAGCCGTGCAGCTGGGGGAGAGAACACAGAATCAGGTTATGGCAGCTCCATTGATGTGCAGGGTGCGGAGGCTGGGGTCCAACCAACAAAAGGATCCAAGAAACTCCTGGGCCATAGAGAGAGCATAGGATCGCTGTCTCATCTTGAGGGATGGAGATCTGGAAGCAACCTTGAGTCCAGCCAGAGGGGACTGCGTCAATAAACTACACTTATTAAGAAACAGCCAAAAAGTATGCTTCGGTGGCGGTCAGGGGCTGGGAGCGGGAGTGTGGCATGGCAGTGAGGATAGAAATAATCAGAGGAGACACGCCTCTTGACAACGGTTGTCTGGGAAGAAGGAACTTTCACTTTTCAATGCCTGATTGCAATCAACAAGTTTGATTTTATAATAAATAAATAAAAAGAATGAGCAAGGCAAAAGTACCATCATCTAAGACCAAAGAAAATGAAAGACTGGAAGAAAATATGTACCACATAGGACAGACAAAGGACTAGGACACAGATTGTATCAAGAATGCCTATACCATGTACCTGGGTTGCGGGCACATCCCCAGTGGGAGATGTGCAGGAGGCAGCTGATAGATGTTTCTCTATCATCGATGTTTCTGACTCTCTATCTCTCTCCCTTCCTCTCTGTAAAAAATCAATAAAATATATTTAAAAAAAAAAAAAGAATGCCTACAGGTGAGTAAGTCAAGGACAAGATTCCCAGGTGTCCTATTGAACGCCAAGTCCTACCCCGAGTCTCTCCCTATCTCCTTCTGCTTCTCTTTGTCCCATCTAACAAAGGATACATTTCCTCAGTTCCTTTCGCTTAGAGCTGCAATTCTCAACCTGTGGGTCGCGACCCCTTTGGCGGTTGAACGACCCTTTCACAGGGGTCGCCTAAGACCATCCCACATATCAGATATTTACATTATGATTCATAACAGTAGCGACATTACAGTTATGAAGTAGCAACAAAAATAATTTTATGGTTGGGTCACAACATGAGGAACTGTATTTAAAGGGCCAGAAGGTTGAGAACCACTGGCTTAGAGGATTTTCCTCAATTCCTTTCCCCCACACCTTGACTACCACCTCTTTGAGGGCAGGAATGTCTGTTTTTGCAACTTGCCACAAAATCCCTAGCATCTAAAATAATGCTGGGCATATGGTGTACATCCTAGTGTATATTTGCTGAATCCTATCTAATAAAGAGGGAATATGCAAATTGACCATAACACAGTCACAAAGATGGCGGCGCCCAGACCCCTCAGCCCTGCCAGAGTCCCCCAGTCCTTTCAGCCCCGCTGGGGGGGAGAAGGGGGTGGCAGGCACACGGTGCAGCCGTATCCACCCTCAGCCCCCTAGTCGCCCAGGGCCGGCTCGAGGCGCAGGCAAGCCTCAGATGGAGGCTGCCCAGCAGCCCAGGGCCAGCCAAGGTTTGCACTGCCAGCAGTGGCAGCAGCAGAGGTGTGATGGGGCGTTGCCTTCCCCTGATTGCCGTGTCGCCTCCCACCCCTGAGGGCTCCCGGACTCTGAGAGGGGGCAGGCCGGCTGAGGGACCCCCCCTCCAGTGCATAAATTTTCCTGCACTAGGCCTCTAGTGAATTAATAAAACTATCCAACAGAAAAAATGAGCAAGAGATTTGAACAGGCAATTCATAGAAAAACAAATAGCATAGTAAAGATGTTTAATTTGACTTACAAATGGGAAAATGCAAATTAAACAACCATGAGATCCATTTTTCACCTGTTACGTTGACACACATGTAAATATTTGATCATATCAGGCATTTTGCAGCCTATGGAGACACAGGCACTGTCATGCAGCTGATAGGATATAAACTGGTATAACCATGTTAACGAGTATTAGAGTAACAACTGCTAAAATTAAAAATACATATTCCCTATGACTCAGTAATTTCATCTCTTAATATTTCTAGAAGAAATATTGTGCATGCAGGAGATAGGCACAAACATGTTTACTATAAAAATAAGGAACAATAAACAATTAGTCATATAATAGGCTTATGAGCAGTATGACACCACCAGGCTATGAAAGACTGCAGCAATTAAAAATATATATAAGGTCGCGATCTCTGGACGAATCCAGAAAGATCTAAGACATACTGTTGAAAGAGAAAAGCAATTTGTAGAAAAATATGGATAGTGTGATAAAACTTATTTTAAACATGCTGAATGTTTTCAATCCACCCGTTTATATACACGTACATGGAATAGGAAAAGATGTAGAAGGATGAACTCCAAACTGACCACACCGCGATCAGTTCTAAGGATGGAGGGGGAGACCAAGATTGAGAAGGTGGTCAGAGGAATTTAAAATTTATTCACAATGTTATAGGAAGAATGCATTTCTGGAAACCTGTGAAAATTAACATGAAGATGGGTTCCTGTCTTCCACTCCCGAGCTGAGAAACGCCAGGCATATCACTTAATCCTCTGTGCCTCTCTCTGCAAATTGAGGGGAACTATGACAAGTGACCACTCACTAAGATCCCGCCCTTCCATAACATGCTACAAAATTTCAGCAGGATCTCCAGTCAGCTGCCAAAAACAGAGGTCCAGTGGGTAATCACTCGCGGTCTAGCATTGTGCTGTCCAATACAAACCTTAAGCGAAATTAAAAGTTTGGTTTCTCAGCTGCACATGTCAATTGGTGTATAGCCACAAGTGGCCAGTGGCCACGGAATGGACAGCTCAGATGGAGAACATTTCCATCATCGAGAAAAGTTCTATCGGACAATGCCAGCCTAGAAAGATGGAATTCTCCCGTCCCCATCTAAAAACTATACAAAGACACGGGTTGGAAGTGGAGCAGAGCCAGATGGCAACCTTTTTCGAACTCTGCTAGGCCGACGCCCATGGCATTTACATATGTGTCTGATCCACACCCAAGAGGCACCGCAGGGCAAAGACTGAAACCCAGGGCAGAGCCTCTTATCTTTTCCCCCACACACATGGAAGAACAGGGCGCTGTTGTCAGTGACAAAAATCAAAGGAAGAAGGGCAGCGTTGAGAAGAGATTTTGCTTTTGCTTTGCATTTGGAGCCAAGAGAAATATATTTCCTCATCCTGCCTCCTGGATTTAGAAGGAAGTGGTAAACACAGCCTCACGTATGGAGAAGAAAGTAGGTAGACGGACTGTATGCCCTAAGGTTCCTTCCTCCTCCCATGACAGAAGAGCAGAAATTGCAGGCGGAGTGTATTCATGGTAAACACCCAGGGAACACCTGCAGATAAAATCTGTCACGTCCCCACGGCCCCACCTGAATCCAGCTACCTCTGTCCCCTCCCCTGCTGGCACACCTAGTCCAAGCCACCATTGCCTCTCCTTGGAGTGACCATCGCTACCCTCTAACTGGCCTCTTGCTGGTCTTTTACAGATGAGCCCAGTGATCTTTTAGAAGTGCAAATCGGACTAAGGTACTCTCCAGCTTACAACCCTCCAAAGACTTCCTGTGGCCTTAGAATAAAATTGAAACTTGGTGCCATGGTCTGTGAGGCTTCCAACAGCCCAGCCTCTGCCTTCTTCTCCCTCCATCCTGTTAGGTTCCTGCCAACACCAGCCATCCGTCTGTTCCCTGAGCACATCAAGCTCTTTCTGACCTCAGGGCCCTTTGCCCAGCCATCTTCTCTGCTTGGAATTCTCTCCCACCAATACATTTCGTTCTCAGATCTTCAGGTCTTTCCAGGATATTATTTATATACATCCAGCACCGGAGCCAGCTCTTTCAGCCTTGCAAGAAACAATTGTTCAATTTCTAGGAATTTTAAGAGCCAGTAGATATCACTTTGGTAGTTTGAAATCAGCCACGGTGGGAATATTTACACCACAAAAATGGGCAAGTGCTAAAAACTGGGCTCGTTTTTATATCCTCAAGAATTGGTCTTAAGCATTCACTAGCACACTGCTGGAATAGTTGCTTCATTACCACCTGAAATTTTCTCCTTAGTTGTTTATTTACTTAGTATCTCTCTCCCACCTGAGCATGAGGCCCATGGTAGTAGGAACCATGTTTATGTTGGCAGTGTGATCAATATCCATGTTGAATGAATGATCACCATAGCAACAATGCAGCAGCTAAGTGTGCACTTCCCTCAGGCCAGGCACTGCACTCAATGTTACACCAGGATCCCAACAACTCTAGGTAGGGCGGGCCCATTTTATAGTGGGGGAAACTGAGACTTGCAAAGGTCGGGCAACTTGTCCCAGCCAATACTGTTAGTAAAAGGGAGAGCCAGGATGTGAACGCCGGGCCATCAGGCACTAAGTCCCCCACCTTATCCCACACCCTCTCCACGTCCCCGAATCTGCTCTATGTCCCCGCTCTCTGATCTATGACTGCATGTCAGAAAGTGCAGATCGGGTCCTCATAGAAAACACAAGAAGTACTAAATGATAAGATCAAGAATGTTCTTCCTGCTGACAAGAGAGAGAGAGAGAGAGAGAGAGAGAGAGAGAGAGGGAGAGAGAGAGATGAAGGGAGGAAAAGAAACAGACGTCAGCAACCAAAACAAGTAAATAGGGCTGCAGCTTGAGGGAGAAACCCTCTCCTTGAAGAAGCACCTCTCTGGAAGGAACCCCATTCACTGCTGGTGGGGTGCCAACTGGGACAGCTGCCGTGGAAAACAGTCTGGAGGTTCTTCAAAAATGAAGAACAGACTTACCCTATGACCCAGCAATCCCTCTCTTGGGTATCTACCCGAAAACATGTATTTGTAAAGACATATGCACCCCTATGTTCATTGCAGCATTATTCACGGTGGCCAAGACATGGAAACCACCAAAGTGTCCGCGATACAGGACTGGATGAAGAAGATGTGGTACAAACTTACAATGAAATACTGCTCAGCCACAAGAAAAGATGAAATACTGCCATTTGCGAATATTATGCTAAGCGAAAGAAGTCAGGAAAAGCAAAGAACCACATAATTTCACTCATATGTGGGATACAAAACTGAAACTCATAGACACAGATAACAGTATGGTGGTTCCCAGAGGGAA